TTGGACTCCCTTTCAAAATGCCATTATTTTGCATTGCAAAGCTGACCCCAGTTAGCAACATAGTTTGAGGCTATTTTAAAAGTACTTAGTAAGAGTCCTTAAATTTTAAATAAGCCAAACCAGCTGTCCCAGTTCACAGAAAACACACAAACTTGCCAGACGTGCTGAGTCTCCTCCTATTACTGTAGAGTTATCATTTTTTCTATCTTATTAGCACTCATTTGTAATGTTTATTAGACAAGACTATGAACAATAAGAAAAGGCTGAAACTTATACCATTTAACAGATGTGCCGAATTAAAATGTAGCAAAGCTCTTAAAAAGAGCAAAGAAAGTTCAGTAAACAATTTCCTAGTGATCACTAGGCATCATATTCCAATTTAGATCTGAAAAACTCCCTCGTAGGGAGAAAAATCAAGTTTTTTTGGGGGGGGGAGAGGAACATTAATTGTGAGAATGAAAGTCTGATTTTTTCAGTAGTGCTGGGCTTTCTCTGCTTCTACGGAATTCTAGGTCAGCTCGTGGCACTCACTGCAACCTATAAAAATTATGACAGCATGTCTGAGCATAGAGCTCACATAGAGCATCATCTTGTCTCCATAAATTATCTGTACATCTTAAAAGAAGGTGAAAAAATGATGGAATGGCCAATTACAGACTGCTCAGCTCCTCAGAGAAATTTCATATCTTCTGCTGTTTGTGACCTTTCCCTTTTTTATTATTTCTCTTGCCTAATTTAAATGTGACTCTTGTCATAAATTTAAATATCTAATCATATAAAAATTCATTAATTCCAGTTTGTGCCAATGAATTATACAGATTTAGTTATGCATTTTTAAATTTTCCTATTAATTTTAAATTTATTTTTAATTGCTCATTGAATAGAGCCTGAATCATGTACTGTAAAAACAAGCATCCATCTGCCTTGCATTCTGTTTTGTTTTCCCCTACCATGTTTCTTCTTCTTAATTTATTTTACTCTCCCTTTTGATTAGAAATCTTCAGATAATTGTTATCCCCTACTTTCTCCTGTGTGCCTTTCAAGAGAAGGTGCCTACCATTTAGTGTCTGCCTAGTACAGACTTACAATATTACATTACTATTTGTGATTTGCTGTGCTGGCCCTTTGGCACTTTGTTGCCTTTGATTAGCAAACTGAGCGGTGGGTTCATCATTAGTGCAGCATGATACCCGAGTCTCCTTCCTAAATGTTTTGTACTAATTAAATCAAGCCCAGTAATGCCCAAGCTTCTTAGATCATTTATCTCAGCTATGCACTGCTTGCTCTTTCAGACATGGATTTCTCTAGATACTGGATGAGAATATTTGGCTTAGCCCAGACTAAGCACTGCACTAATACATCCTGCTCCTTGAGGGGCTTATACGCAAATCTGATGGTTGTGCTCTAGTCAGATAAAAAGTCTTAATGTTTCTTTTGATGCCTCAAACGAAAACCCAAAAGTTACCATTAAGGATCACTTTCCTACTCATAAATTCCTCTTTGAAGCATATTTGACAAAAGGAAATTGCTTCTCTTACCACCCCTTTAGCAATTATTTTAGCATCAATGTTTCAAAATTGAGTTTTTCTGAGAGACATTTCCTCTAGGTATGGGTACAGGTGATTCCTGTTTCTTGCAACAAGCATCATCTGAAAACCTCTTCTTCCCTGTTAGTTGTCCAGATGATCAGTCTGTCACAGATTGACGACTTTGTCCATTAGAAAGATAAGGCCTTCTGGCAGTCGGTGACAGAGTATCAATCGCCCAACCTTGGTTTACTAGGGTTTTGCAGTATATGATTTCTTATGCTGATACTTATCCCACTTTTGTTTGCAACATATAGTTCCATAGAATTCAGAATTCCATTCTCTTTCCTTTGAAAAAAGTAAATTATAGCTATATATATAATAATACAATACTCTCTCTATAGGGAGAGAGAGATAAGTATGAGAATTAAAGTAGCTGCACTCTTACCATGGGATAATGTAAAACTCTGTGTGTGTGTGTGTTTATACACACACACACATACAGAGTTTACTGAGTCTAATTTATCAGGAATGAAAATGTATCAAACTTGAATTTGAGGGATTAATTCTTCTCTGAACTCATCTTTGCAAATGATAGCCTCTGTGGAAAACTGTATTTATCATTTTTATAATTTTGGTATGTTTATTTTTCCTTCTAAGTAACTTGTTTTCCTGCTTTCAAATCTAAAGCATAAAAATATTTATATAACTAGGTGGAACAAATTTGAAACAAAAGGTGAAACACGTTTGAAGAGGTGAGCATAGCGTTTAGCTTGTAACTGAGAGAAACAAGAGAAAATAATAAAACAAAGTATCAGCGTGCCTGTTACATAGCAGCAGACAAATTATCTTTTAGTCTTACAAGAGCATGCCCTTAATTATTGTGCTTCAGGGGGCCTGGCAGGTTTATCGTTTGCTTTCTACCTTTTAGGAATTATCTTAGACAACTGACAGCTCCAGCAAACTCTTGCTTTGCACTGTTCCCTAGCACTTCCACAAGACAGGCAGACAGACAGAAAGATAAAAACCCTCACACAAGCCCAGAATAAAAGATCAGTGCTTTTGCACTATCTCAATGATTATGGGTTTTTTTTCCCCCTAAATTGAGAAAGCAAGCCATCAGTTTACCATCTAAAGAAGACAGAAACGTATAGGGCTTCCTAAGCTTAGAGGTCTCTTTCCTCTCTACCATGCTTCACTCTGGCTGTGTGCAGCCAGACATCCATACTAACCAGCAGACTTCGGAGAGACTTAAACTATAATCACAAAACAGAAAGAAAGCTAGATAACTCTTCAGAGGTCAGCAGATGGTGTTCAGAGAGCTCACAATCCTCAGATTTGTTCTTCCAGCCCACACCCAAAAAAGACTTCCCACCTCGGCTGGTAAACGATGCAGGGGCTTAAGCTACCTGTATGCAAAAGCTGCTGCACAGTTTGCTATTCCTTGGGTTTTGACCTACTGCCAGTTGAAGCCACTAGAGGAAACTTCTATTGACTGCAATAAGCACTAGATAAGAGTCTCCTGGAAGCTTTTTTAGTATGCTTTTTAAAAAGAGAAAGCCACTATTTAAAAGAGTTTGATTGCAGCACAAATTCCACAGAAACATCTCAAGAGGGAGCTTGGGCTCAGAGTTATAATTAGGTTAATGATCATCTGCTGCCCATGCTTCTCTCAGATGACGGCAAAAGTGAGGTAATACAGCAGAGCTTATGTGGAGGAGGGTTGTGGTTACTCGGGTTATGTGTGATTGCTTACTGAGCTGTGATAACGTGGCTTTGAGTTCAAGCACCAAGTCTTTGCCATGAAATGGGCCTGTTGCGAACATGAGCTCTAAGGCTTAGTCCCACAGGGCTCACTTTGACATAGTATCACTTGCAAAGAGAATTACATATAGACCCAGAACTGATCCTTTTCACTGTTTAAATACTTGTGTTAACAAACCTAGTTCATAGTCTGAGTCTATATAGTTTGGATTTTTAGACTGTATCCAAAACCTATTTTCAGGAGCAGGCGTCTCATAAGAGTGCTTTATTCAGATTTGTTTTTCCTGCTGTGCAAGGTGATGGGAGCTGTAATAGTTTTTATGACAATTTATGTAAGAAAAAGCATATAAAAATACTCAAAGGAAACAAAGTAAATTTCAAAGGGATTTTTTTTTTTTTTACTTTCTTTTCTTTCATTTCACTCTGAAAATAAAAATTGACCCATATGGCTGAAATACTTGCATTTTCTACCACTAAAAAAATAGATCCTTTTAGAATGAAAATTGGCTTCAGACTCTGAAGTATGAAATTCGATTTTATGTATATGTATATATTTATATGTATTTCAGATTTCAAGTTTTGCATATCATTGAAGCAGAAATATTTGTCTAACTGAATTTCACATCAGAAAGAGCTTTAGCAACATGAAGTACCCATGGCAAATGGCAACTTTCTGCAAAATAAAACTCACCAGATTCAACAGCTGTAATACAGTTATTACTACTTTCTCACTACTGCTAGCTATTTTTAATCCTTCACCTCTCACTGTCCTCTATATTTTTATTTCTAAAGCCTAGCATAAGAAAGAAAGAAGAATATGAGTTGAGAAGCATAATTTAACTAATGCTTCAAAAAAATATAGAGTTCCAGAAATTATTTTCTTCCCAAGAACTCCCAGCCAGTCAGTCAGCTGCAGAGTTTGAAATGATTCAGGTTTTGTACTGGACCATACAAAAAAAAACCCAAAGAAAAGTACAGTGAAACTTGTACAGCTGGATAGATTCACATTTATGCAGAACAGATCCTACATCTTTTTAGTTTAATTCCAAAATTTTATTTTGCAGTCATTGTGCATGGATATAACTGATCAAACACACATTGCCCACTTGCGGTACTCATATAAAAAGAAACACAATTGAGCTGGATCTCATTCTCACTCACACACGGAAAAACAGAACTTGGCACTGCAGAAAGTATTCTCACCTTCAAATGCATGGGCTAGAGACAACCTGATACATTCAACAGAAAAACCAAAAAATAAGTGGTTGATATTTTCCATTTTATCCTCTCATTGTTGGAGAAGGTATAGCAACATAACATTGGGGGAAAGAAAAAACATTGCTGGACAACTTTAAGAACGCTATACAACTCATTAGGGTCAAGGATGAGAGAGTTGTGCGGTTTCTGCACATCTCACATTTCCTCAGAAACTTCCAAAACCCAAGGCAGAGGAGACTGCAGCCACCTTCCATAGACAGTGAGCAAAGCATCTGCACAAATACACTTCTGGAGACTGGAATCATTTTTAACCTGTACCGTGTGCTTGAACAAGCTGCTGCAAAGGCACATAACTTGCCCCGTGGCAGGCTCAGTCTGCAGCAGCTCTCTCTATAGCAGCTCAGGAAGGGCATATCTGGAGTGTGCCTATCCCAGGTACGGCAAGAGATGGGCAAACAGGGTTGCACAAGAGAACAACACAGAGCCCTGCTGTTAATGCTGTACAAGCCCCTGAACTGTGATGGGAAATCCTGTTGAACCATCTCTTTACTATCCTGTTCAGAGCTGGGCTCCAAATGCAACTAAGTAACTGTAAGATGATTTCATCTTGTTGCAGAAATTCAGTACGATTGCCATATCAGGCCAACAGGGTATTTTATCAAAGTTATCCAATGGCAACACTAGCAACAACTAATGCCTATAATGGGCATTAAAGCACAGTGCTAAGCATGAAATTCTATTAACTATAATAATCATAATGGATTCCAGCCTTGCCACCTTTACTCAAATAGGATCGCATCATATCCCATCAGTGGCACTAAATGCAAAGTAAGGTGCTTCTCACTTGGATTGAGGAGGTCTGAACCTGCCAGCTAAAAGATGCCCTACAGGCAGAAAGGGAAGAGATTTCTCCTAAAACTAAGTGGAGCGGTGGCATTCAAGAGGGTTTTCACACAGCCACGCACTTAGCAAGCCTCACATAACCCCAAATAACGTCCGGAATAGGCAACTAAAGCAATTGAAAGAGGACATGTCCATTTGCTATATAATTCTACAAGTGGTTACTAGAAGATACCTTACTTCATTTTTCTCTGTAGCATTTGATTGGCTTCTATATATGATTATCAATGATGTAATTCTGATTCACTCTATTTCTTAACAGTAGTGCCAATACCATAAATCTGATTCTTCATTCTTAATTATCTTACTCTTATTTATTTACTCATTTTCTTACTTACTACTGTGCCTCTATCCCAGTAAAAGAGCATAAATTCTTGCTTAAAGGGTCAGAACTTTTTTCTCCCATTACCCAGTAGTGAAATTGCTCTATAGATAATCTACATTGTCAGCTTACAATGTGTGCAGTAAATATGCCACAAATAAATAAATCACAGTATACTGTACACATCATTTAGCAGTAATAGATGAACATTAGTTTCTCTGATTTTAATTTACAGTGTAAAACAAAGCAATAAACATCTTACAACTCAGGAAAATCTGGACAAAGCAAGTATTGGAAAACAATTCTCCACAACATACATACATACATATATACATACAGTCACACACACACATATATATGGGAGTGTATATATGTGTAGGTATATATCTATATATGAACATATTCAAAGCACCCCAAATATATGGGTTTCTGCAATAGTAAATACACCTTGTGGAAGCAGCTGGCTCTCCCTAAATGCTGCACTTTCTTATTAGGCCTTGTTCCTAACAGAGCAGCTCTAAGACTTACTGACTTTTCATATGAAACAATAGCTATTTAATTTAAAAGTACTTACTGCCCCTCTCAGCATCCAGATACCTAGAAGAGTCAAGAAAAACTATTCTTGCAATTACAAACTAGAAAGATGATCCGCCTAAAAAAATCCCATGTGGAAGGAAATGAATCACGTAACCCGAGACAGTCTGCTGAGTCTTTCTATCATGAAATTAAGCAGACTCTGAAGATAGTTCTCAAAAGCATTAGGTAGCGTAGAAACTAAGAAAAATGAACTAGGCCCAGAGCTTCAGAATCTAATGCCCAAATGAAAATTAGTGCTTAAATAAGAATTAGGTACTCAGATTCATTTGAAGATCTTAGTGTTAAGAAATGACATTTCTTTGGGTTACAGGGAAATTTTGGCTCATAAGTTATGTTTCAAAAAGACCTCCAAGGGAAAGAAAAGACACATTCTCCCTTCCTTCTCCTTCAGAAATGTTTTACCAGCTGTAGTAGCCTGGCAAACTTAGTGTTTGATTTTGATACCTCCTACCATAGTTTTTCCACTTCACCATGAAGTTTAGTTTTCCTTTCGCATCAAAGCTTCTACAACTAGTCTTAAAAAAATAAACCAAAAATGCAGTGCCATCAATCCAGAAATGATAGGCAACCCTACTACTAGCTAATCAGTATCTGAGAACTAGACAAGGAAAACCGTTGGGACCTGGGACTTCCATTTATAAGAAGCTGGGAGATGTTCAGATGAAGCCAGTAAAAGTCAAAATAGCTGGAAAAAGAATGGGAGGCAGGGGGAGTGTCACAAATGGTCTTTCAAGTCGTATGTTCTCATGTGCAACTAAAATGGCTAACGGAAAATATGGAGAAATGCAAGCTGGTACTGTTTCAGGTTTGTCTGAATTGTTTTTTGGAGCCTCAGTTCCGGTCACCTTCTCCATGACAATCGCAAACACATCTCACCTTTAGTGCACAGGGGTGCTCAGCCAACCTCTGCTCACAATTCATCTCCAGTTCCTGTCTCTGAGTCTAGGTTCTCCACCCCACTCACCGCAGCATCTATTTTACAGGTACCCCCAAAAAACTCTGGCTCTAATTTAATTAATCGTCTGCTGCTATGCCAGCCTTGCATTTCCTTGAGAATCACCCTAGATGCTAACAAATTCACTCATACTCACTTAAAATATATTCAAAGGGGAAGCAATTCATGACATAATGTTAAAAATATAAGTTGCGCACTGCTATAAACATACTGAATTAGAAGAGCGTGTTTTCCCCCACCCCCGGAAGAACATTCGTGTTTTATACAATTCCTCTCTTGGGCTCCCCCTTGCCCTCTGAAGAAGTGGAGTTTGAGTCTTGTCCTGCACTGGATTTCCTCTTTTCTGGATAGTGGTTCATTTCTTGCATTTCTAAAGATACTTTATTCCTTTTGGCAAATGCCAGGCTGATCTCATTAAGTGTCTTATTTTTCGTTTCAGGCAGGACAAAGAACAGGTAGATAGCTCCTGCGGAGCAGATGGCAGCAAACACTAGGAAGCAGTAGGTCTGTAAACCACTCTGAAAAGAAAACAAAGGAAATGGTCATTACAGATGTTAAAAAGGGACAAAAGTCAGAATAAAAGCAACATCAGGAACTGTTGGAAAGAAAAAAAATGGCGGTATAGAGCAATTCTTAACCAAGTACAATAAGTGCTGGCATTCACTGCAAGTCAGCGCGTCTTAGAAGTTCATAAAAATTCATGAATCCTGAGTTCTTTCTGCAGTCTGTGCGGCCGAGATGTGCAAACCCAGGCTCCTGGCAGGGGAGTGCAGATTTGCAATCTGGACAATGCTGGGAGGCACCAGACCGTAGTTCCCGACCGTGGGAGTGAAGGGAGCAGGTGGAGGGACCATGGTGTCTTCGACGCATATGACTTAACCGCCTCCTGCAGTTGTTTGGTATCTCTGGAAATGCAGCAGATTTTTTTATTGAGATGTTCTGAAAAGGAGCTCTCAAAATCTAGGGACAAAAAATGTGGCATTTTTTGTAATATTGTGCACCTGTTCTTAACAAATTACAAAACTGTCATGCCCAGAGGCATCTGCATCACACTGGTTACAAGCTCTGAGATTTACAGAATAAACAAGGAAAAAAATACAAATGCCAAAAATCTGCATCATTTTGAAGTTTACAGAGGCTTACAGCAGAAAAAAATCCATAAAATATATTTCTTTCACACTAAAGACAAGTGTAAAAACTAACTGAAAATGAAATACAGGCCATATTTGAATGTTTCTGATTTTACTCCACTGTGAAAACAGAACAGAGACAGGAAGAAGTTCATTTAGAAATTTATTATAAATGCTCCAGCCAACTTGAAAGAGTTGCACTTCATCAAAACATAAGTATTTCTTGCCTGGTGATTATTAGCTCGTTTAAAAGCATTCAGTAACATTTTAATAACACAATTTTAAAAAAATATTTGATAATTACATTATTGCCAGCTACACTTTGTTGAACTGGGAAGAGATCTGGCATCTTGCTTCCAGCAAAGTACTGCCAACCTTTCAGGAACATCAAAGGGACCAGCCTCTTTGTAGGAGTTTTTGAGCACCTCTCTTCTTCCTCTACTTGCTTGCCTAAATCTATGTCCCTAAAACAAACGTCCAGAGAGCATGTTTTTGACTTCCTTTTATTAACAAGGCTAAATTAAACAAGAAGTGGTTGTAGTCTCCAGCTACAAAAATCAGGTGGTCTTTCCATGGGGCCTTGCTGAATATCATGGAACATGAGGAAAATTGGACACATCTCGCTGTCCTAATCTCAGCTGTCCTAAGACAGAGGTTATACTAGGGCAAATCACTCAAGATGGAGGAAGTAAAAATCTGATGAAGAGTATGTGAGCACTGTAAACTTGAATAACCAAACTGCTTCACCAAGTGCTTCGACACAGATGCCAGCCTCAGCCCCATCTCACAGACCTCGCTGGTTTATCCACCGCACGGAGCCAAAGCAAACCCCAGATCTCTGTATGACACCACTTCAGCTTCTGTTCAAAATTTCTTAAAACTCACTCTGTCTGTGAGCTCCCGAGAGATATGGCTTTGTATACCTGCATATTTATAACTGCCATTAAATGTATGTATCTGAAACAATTAAGATAGTGACAGATAGTGATGAAACCCTGACTTTCCACAACCTTCTAGTGTATTTATACCCTCGTTCATTATCCCAGTTCTAAACTGCGGACAGGTTCAGCCCCCTTCTTTGGGTGCAGGACAATTCCTGGGACTAGTTTTATGTTTCACTTGCTCAGTATTTCCTTATATCTGGTATAGAAGAACATAAGTGCTTTTGTGGAAAAGGAAAGAAAAAATAAAAAAAACTTTTCTGTAGCTGCTTTTTAATATCATGACTTCTTGCCAATCTATCTAGTCACAATATTTTTCAAGGATAATTCATTACCTATTTCAGACCTTTGATTCCTGTCTGTCATAGGAAAAGCTGGAGAATGTAGCCTCTGAAATATTGACTACGAACTCTTGAAATCATCAACACTGTTTTGGTAAAACCTAGAAGCCCAAACTCCTGAACAACCTGACAATCACAAGCCAACGAGCATGGGTGATGAGGGGGAAAAATATTCTGGGAAGGAAACTGATATTATACAGAAGCAGAAGCAAACTGATTTAGTAGACAGGAAAAAATAACTTCACAGTGTCTCATAAATCATCCTGTCATGTTAAGAATCCAAATGTCACATCTGGATTCTGTACATTTGAAATTGTTTCCCAGTCGAATGGTAGGGCTCCAGTCTGGAATCACGCACCCAACATGTTACTCTCTTTTCAGTCTCGTCATTGAACCAAACCTTCTCTGTGATGTTGAGGAACCATTAATGCCTTTTATGACTGAGCCTGGCAACCAGATGCCGTAACTTATTTGCACCTCCTGGTGGTGCAACCACAACTTCTACCACCTTTATTACTCCTGCTTATTTCTTTACTATCTGTTATCTAAATGAGTGTTTATCACCTTTTTTGATTTGTGTCTCCCTAAATATCTTCTGAGCAAACTGAATACCCTTATGAGTGTGCAGTTTATCTGCATATATTTTACGTAATATATTTACTTTTATTGGTAATAAATTTACTTTCTTTCATTTTTGCAGATCCCTTAGAAGAAGCCCTCAAGGGCATCTAAATGAAGTTCCACAGAGAACAGGCTAAAAGTTAAATTTTGGTGTAAAAACTACAAATGAGTCCTGCAGGAAAGAGACCTGTTCTACTTGTTCTACTTGTATAGCATGATGGAGCCCTGACTCCTGGGTGGTAACACTCCAGGGCAATCACTAGACTCAGCTGCTACTCTTTAGTCATAGTATTTCTTTAAAACTGGCCGTCATTTATGAGACATAAAAAAGACAGACACTTCCAAATATCCACAGCCTTTTGTAACTCATTCAGAGTTTAACTAATATCACCTGAACTTGTATTTAGGCTAGAAGAATATCACATGCAAATTAAATTGCTCTTAAGTATGAAACTGACTACCTACGCTGCACACTGATAAAGGGTGTAGAACAGAACTACTGGGTAAAGCAGTGAAAGGGAATGTGAAAAACCTGAATCCCTAGCCAATAAAAAACTGTTGCATGGCTGGGATATAACTCAGCCTAGACATTTGTTTAATTCGGTTTTATCAGTTTCTGATGTATTATGAACAGACTGGTGCCAGAGGGAAGATACTAGTGGATCAATTAATAGATTGGCCACAGCATATCTACTGTGACAGCATATCAAGTGATCCAGAATGTCAGATGAGGTCCTGGGAAAAGGGTGGGTGCCTAGTTATTGAATGACAGCTGCTACAGAAAAGGTAGTGGTAGGCAGACGTGACAGGAAAATGGAGCTAGGTCTTTGTTCTGTGAAATTATTATACTTTTATTTATAATATACATATTATATTATTTATTATTAATATTATGCTGATGAAGCCCTTAGCTACAATTTCCTCTGGTGTTTGTAACCTTTTCCCTCAATTGTTTTACTGTTCACAGCTTGCTAGACATGAGACAATCCACGGAGACTGTGCAGCTGCCACTGTAGGACTAAACCCCCAGATCTTTGCTCAGTTTGAGAGGCAGACTTATCTGTCTGGGCTGGGAATAAAAGAATGAGAAAGAACTTCAATTAAATTCTTTGATGTCAATGAGAAAGGCAGATCCTCTGCAACTTTGCATTTGACCCAATGGACATGGTCTCAAGACCCTTGACTGACATGTGCATTGTCAATGACATGGGAATAATGACTATAGACACAGTAAGATTTGAGAATACGATACTTTTCTGCACTTTATGACATTGTTTCACTAATCATATGGGATAGAAACATCAGTGTTTAAAAACTGGATGCTTATAATCACCCTAAGAGTGATTGACTGATTGATTGATTGACCCCATGGGGTCCTACAATAGTGTATGCTGCTTAGCTGTTTTCCCCTACAGTTTCTTCGGTACGCTCTGCTGCATGAACATCCAACCTTCAGGACTTACAGTCAGATACAAATGTGAACATCCTTGAAGGGCCAGGCTTTCTGTGGGTAATGGAAGGTTATCTCCCCTCCCTGGTTGGCAGCAGAGGGGATAACAGTATACGTGCTTGTTGACGCACTCCCTGCGGACACTCACAGCCTGTTCTTTTAGCTGGCCAGCAGACTAACACGTCCTCTGCAGGGCAAGATTCACACTGCATTTTTCAAGCCTGGTGAGCCTACTAATATATGAGATATTTAAAAGCTAAGCATAAAATTTTAAACTCGTCACCTCTATTTTGACATCAGCTTTCTAAGGAGGTTATTTAAAACATAGTGTTTATACACTTGAGTATTGAATTATTCATTTTTATTTCCCCTTCACTCTTGCAACAGATCAAAGACTGTAATTGCAGAAAAATAGACAAATAGGAAACAATTCACTATAAGCAATTCACAACTTTAAGCCATGCATGCAATTGCCACAAAAAAGAATTAAAGTTGAAGCACTAAAGCAGCCCTTCCAAATCAGATCCCAAGTTTGGCAAGCAAGAAAACCTGACTGTGATGATGATTTGTACCTGCATAATTGAGATGTGTGAATGAGGAGGTGCAGCAGAGCCACATTTTCTTAATCATAAAGGTTACAAACATACTCCCAGCTTGTGTACACGTTACGCAGATTGTACAGGCATTTCCCCTTTTTTGCTTTAAAAAAGAAATTCAGCATTCTTTAGCATTTTAACCATTTTAAACAGACTTAAAAAAAGAGTAATGCTAAGATGGATGAGCAAGAAAGCTAATTTTTTCAAGTCAAAAAGCAAACTGAAACAAGTAAAGAAAAATGGCGTTAAAATAAGCAATGATCAGATTTTGAATGATCAAATATTTAATGATTTGCTACTTTCAAAGTCTGCTAGCAGAGAACAGTTTTAGGGCTAATAGCTTGTATTCTGTGAATACCAGAGTCTAAAAAAGTAAAAGTAGTTGAGTAGAACATCATCACGTGCTATTTAACAACAGATCAGTTGATTATTGATTTAA